TGACCGAGTTTATGAGTTAGGATTGCCAGTAGAAATGTTTGAATTTTGATTTGATTTGATGAAATGGGCAACGTAGGTTCGGCGGCAATCCGGACGTCCACAAGGGATCTTAAACATCGGTGTGGCATTACTGGATAGCTCCATGAGGAGCATGCCATTGTACAGACAGATGAGCATGTCAGCCGTCGGATTCCGAGATCTCCTCATGGACGACCACCTTCACCACCCCAACAACCACACTGCCGCCGCCCACCCGCCGGTACTCCGCCGCATGAAAAGCGAGCGCAGCACCCTGGTGTCCTACGACGACATCTCCCTCAACAACAGCTCTCTGGTCGCGATCCCAAAGCCTAGGGCCGCCGCTGCCGCGGAGAAGGAAAGCTCCATCCTCAGCATCTCCTTCGAGCCGCCGCCGCCGCCTCCCCCGCTCCAGACCAAGAAGGTGGGGAAGGCCAGCTCCGTCATCAGCGGCGCCGAGCTTCGGGAAGACAAGACGGCTAAACACAAGCGCAAGAACGGCAAGGCGAATTCGGTTTTGAGCGATTCCGTTAGAGAGTCGCATCATCATCACAATGAGAAGATGGTTGAGGCTAGGGATAGCGAGAAGAAGGCGGCTGTTGTCAACGAGAGGCCCAACGGGCCAGGAGCGGACAGCAGTAGGCCCAATCAGACGAGCCCGATTTCGAAGCCCAACATCGCGGGGCATTACGGGAGGCCGTGGAAGGGGAACTCGATGCTGTCAGACTCGGAGGTGGGTCCGTCGCCATCAGAAGTGGCGGCGGCGATGGCGGAGCGGAGGTACCCGTTGGAGGCGGCGGCGGCGGAAGGAAGCTCGGTGCTGGACGGGTGGAGCGCGGATGAGAGCGTGGAGGGGCTACGGTCGAAGCTGGAGCGGTGGCGGGCGGAGCTGCCGCCTCTGTACGATCGGGGGTATGCCAGCAGCAGCTTCCAGTCGAGCAGTTACCACATGCGGCGGCACACAGAGGGCGGCGAAAGGGACGGTAGGTTTTCCTGCTTCGGAAACATCTTCGGGTACGAATGCGAATGCGTTTGTGGGCAGCCCCCGCCCCAGAAGAGCAGGAACTACTTGTACAAAAGCCCATCAGTCGGTAGTTTCCTCTAAATGGATGAATGAATGGATATGGGCTAATACGACGTGAGGAATTATTGACAAATATTGTGCTTTGAGAGAGAGAGAGAGAGAGATCTATGCGATCCACAATGCTTGCACGATTTTATTATAGGAGGGATCGGAGTATCATCAATCATTATTCTCTTGTTGTAAGCTTGTAACAACTAATGGTGTGTAATGCTGCTCTGCCCATTTGCCCAATTTTGGTGGGTCAATATGTATTAGTTACTTTATTTTCTAGTGTTTTTTTGTTCCATGGAATCTATGAGGAGGGGTTTTGGAAAAAAGAACAAAATCGAGTTTACATTTTCCTTTATAAGTTTGTATATGTGTTGTCTAAAAAAATATGATGAAAATTCCAATATTTAATTACGATTTAGAAAGTTAGAGGATAATTTAGAGCACACCTGATGCACAACTAAGAGAAAGTAAATGTGTTGGTGCATCGTTCCGTTGGAACGGTGGGGTTCTAGTGAGACCGGAGTATGGTGAATCCCTTTAGTTTTTGTTCCGATCCTTCGTCCAGTCTTGAGCCAAACGAGCTGAGTACGTGATATGGATTTACCAAATGTTAATTAGGGGGCATCATATTCGATGAGATAGAGAAAATATAGACTCTCGTTGCAAATCTCTATCTATACAATCATAACAACTACAAAATAATAAATAGAACTGGAAATGATTTTAACACCGGGGGGCATTTTTCCCAGTTTTAACTCTCCAGGCATTAAACCCCCCCTAGGGCTTCATCAGGGCGTTAATGCTCATGCGTCAAACGTTTAACGAGCGAATGCAGTAGGCCCTCTCCCTTCTAATGGCTATAATGCCGTTACATATTTTAAAAAAAATTCCCCTTCTTTAAATTTACTTTTTAAAAAAAAAAAATATAACACGCAAACACAAATCTCCTTCTCTTCTCTTTCCTAAAAAAGAATTCTTCAAGCTTTTCTCATACTTTTATCATGAATCCCTTTTGTTCCGATCCTTCGTTCGGTCTTGAGCCAAACGAGTACGTGATGTGTATTTACCAAACGTACGGGAGTAATCCGGCGTTGTTCGATACGCAAACTCAAAGAATCTGGAGGACCCAAAGTCAGTTCCAGAGACTCAAGGCAAACTAAGTACACCCAAAAAAAGTGCACATCGGAAGAGTCACAAACCTTGGTAAAATTTATATGTTTTTTAATATATATTGTATATATGTTCTTTTTTATATATTTGTGTTAAAATATTTTTTTCGTTCAATAATATATTTCTTAAAGGTTCTGGTCAAACAAAGGATGCGATGTGGGATCGTATCGAAGAGAAGTTCTTTGTAGCGATGAAGAAGGACGCCTCATACCGAACTCGAGACCAATATACTTCCAAATGGGGCTACATCAATAGAAAAAGTCCACAAATTTATCAGAGTTTACGAGGAATGCTCTCATCAGTGCCGAAAGAGGGGGATTAATGTAATTTTTTAAAATCTGACGTTATTTTTTTATTGAATGCAATTTTTTATTTAATGAACTATTATTATTTAAATTTAATTAATTAATGAAATCTTATTAATTCAATTATATAAAATGTGTATTAAAAATTTTTAAAAATAAAAATTTGAAGCCCCAGTTTGAAGCCCTGAAGATTCAAACTCATTTTCACTGAAACTGTGATGTAAGTTAAAGGGGAGGTTAAATCTGATGTGACAGAGAGAAAGATTTGAAATCCTGACCTAAAGCTTGGGGCTTCATGAGTCATGACCATTTCCTATGCCCTAACAAACATGAAAGAGTGTTTCCAACTACATTTATGGTATGTTTGGGTGATGAGAGAAAATTGAAGGAAAGAAAGTAAGAGGAAAGAAAATGAAGAGAAGAGAAAATGAAAAGAAAACTAAAAGAAAATAATTATTGTTTGAATGGATAGAAAATAAGAAGAAAAGTAAGAAGAAAGAAAATGTGATAAAGTAAAAATACATTTGTATCCTTATTTAAGTGGTCAAAAATGAAAAGGAATTGAGGGCAAATGTGTCATTTGATAAGTTTTCTCTTCCATTGTAGTTTTTTCGCCACTTTAGAGGAGAAATATTTTGTGATGAAATCTATCTACTTTTCATTCTTTCTTTCATTTTCTCTTTCAAGCAAACAAGAGAAAACTCCTTGAATGTTGTCTTTTCCCTTCCTTTATTTTCATTCTCCCCAATTTCTCTCATCCAAACACTACATTCGTGTTGGACATGGTCTCCACTTGGAAGTTATACCAATATACAATGCCAAAATTTGAAATTTTACGGTGCTAAGAGTTCCACTTTACTATTCCCTCCGGTCCAAAAAAAATGGGAGATATTGATTTTTAATAGATTTAAGGAAAATGTATTTTGGTGTTGAATTTTTAAAAAAGTTCTTTGATTTGATGAGTAGAAGTAGAATTTGATGGGTAGATTATTAGTAAAAAAAGTATGATATGATAGGTAGAGTATGAAATATTAAGGAATAAAATTAACTTTTTGATAGAAATAAGAAGTATTTTTTGAGACGGATAAAAGAAAGGAGAAAAATTTTCAGGGATGGAAAGAGTATATTTTTATGAGATTTGTTTCGATATAAATTATACGGAGTACTTTTAGAGTCAGGTCAATTTCTTAATCTACAATCTTGTCTTTACTACACCCCTGGCTGCTGGTCATTCCTAGTCGGAAAATGTTTGGGGTACACCAAAAGTATACCCCAAACATCTCCCACCCCCTCCATAACTATAAAAAAAGTCAAATAAAATTCAAAAAAATAAAAAAATAAAAACAAAATAAAATGATTGATAAAGAGAGGTGTGGTGTATATTTGGGGTACACCTTTGGTTTACCCCTAACATCTCTCTTCCTAGTCGCACCTAGGCTCTATTAGGTACACAGAATTCAAGTCATAAAAGTGAAATTGGAAACTCCAATTCCATTCAATTAAATTCTATACAATTCTAATTCTAATTCAATTCCAATTCTGTCAATTCTATGTACCAAACAGACTCTAAACACATTTTTTTATTTTAAGAAAATGATAGTATGATATAAATGTATTCTCTCCTCGGCCCGGTTCTGTGGCCACTGACTCCCTACAAACACCTACGGTGCTCTATTCGTAAAATTGATAATTCCTACCCTCTTAACCCCCGGTAAACCCGCCGCCGAGTCCTGACCCCAACTCATCCCCCACTTACGTCAATTGCACCCCGTAATTTTAGTTGACTTTGAAATCAAAGATTTTGAGTTTAAAGTCAATTATACTTGCGGGGTGCAATTGACATAGGTGAGGAGATGAGTTGGGGTCAAGACTTTGCGGGAAAATTTACCGCGGGTAAGAATCATCAATTTTATGAACGGAGCACCGTAGAAGGACAATAGCTTCTGTGGCCAGTGGAACCCAGTGACCATGGAACCTAGCCGTTCTCTCCCATGCATAAATTTCTACTAGAATTTAACCTTTTTAAATACGGAGTAGCTATTTTGAGTCAAATGCGAAAACCTTTAGGAAGGGAAAATTTTTATTAGGGTGAAGGGTAATTTTCACTGGGATTTTTCAAGAGGAATTGGAAAACCTGGTGTATGGGTAAGATTTCAAAGAATAAATCAGCAGCGTATACCAATGCCCGCCCAGCATCATGCCCACCACAAAAGAGGGAGGAAGGGGCAACATCAAAAGGTTCCTAAAACATCAAGAGCTGCAGCAGTGCAATTTATGTACATATATCTATATAAGTATATATATATATATATATATATATATATATATATATATATATATACACACACACAATCTGAAATGTACTTGGATGGAAAAGAACTACGTTGTTCAAAAGGTCCAAGATTCCAGAGCCCCCCCATCACGAGACATCTTACCCTTGATCTAATTTTTTCTGCTAATGGCACTAAACATAACGGACATATATGCTTCTTATAGCCTGCACAGTCAAAATTCATACTAGATGATGATGCCGGGAACAAAAGTTGTGTCACATAGTGTACAGTGCAAGACAATGTATGTAGTCGCAAAATTGCAACTGTTACGTCCAAGCCTCATCTGCAAAAACAATTAAACAAATCACCATGGAATGACAAGAGAGTTTAAATAAGGTGGCACGGCACCTATGGCAGTGATTCCTCTTATGTTGAATGGCAAATCAAGGTTTTTAACCGTCATACAACTCGTGGGAAATAGGTACTGACCAAATAAATATGCTGAGAAAATATTGTGCAAGATCCATTCACTTTATACTTCACAATCAATTTTTCAAATAGGGACCTTGAAATTTACTGTGTTGTACCAACCTAATCTGTGAGCACCAAAAAACCTACTCCCTCCATCCCATAAAAATATTCCTCGTTTCTTTTTTTGTTTGTCCTAAAAAAGGTTCTTTCTGGTAAGTACATAACCACACATAATGCTATACATAATGAAAGATGTGTTGAAGTTGGCCAAAATCTGAAATCATCAAATCATGTTCAATATTCTAAAATAAGCAACACTGAGAATGCCTAACTATTTGGCATTATATTGTTACTAGCTCTAAATCGAACCCTACATAGAGCTTGTTCTCTTCAACTTATTCTTAACACTTACGGAGTATTACTTATTTTTATCGGAATCAGATCAGATCAGAAATAGCTTTATATACAACTACAATCAAATAAAATCAGATTAGATCAGACCAGGTCGGAAGTCAGAACTTATTCCAATTAGATCGAGATCAGGTGAAGAGAGCCCTTGGTCTCGTTCAACAAAATCCCCAATATCAAAGATATCCATACTGACTATGCTTTCCTCTATGCCTAGGTCTATTTTTGCGCTTGCAGCCACAATAGCTAGCACGTTAAACTCCAAATTGTGCGTTAACTAACCATGGTAGGTGATTCGCGTGAAAATTATAAGCCATAATTATGTGTTGAAATGCATGCACAAGTAGTGGTAAAGTTAAGAATTAGAATATAAATTATTAGCTTTTTTTCTGTAAAATTAGTTTGCTTATTGTAAATGTTAAGGGAAATGTTCCCAGGCGTTGTAAACCATTTGCTATAAATTTACATCAAGCTGAGGGAATATAATCAGCTAATTTCAAAAATGCAATCAGAGATTCAGAGCCTACGCTACCAGCGTACATTTACCCTCAAAGCCTAAACAACATTTACTTTAAGTAGTCCTATTTTCTTTCCACCGAAGTTCTAAGCACTGATACTAAACAGTTCACGTATCAGCATTCTGCATCGCTGTCAAGTTATCCTATTGCCAAAGTCCAATTACCGTAATACTAAGGAAGCTTGGCAATTTCAATCAACCAGTCCCCAGTTCCCACTCCAATCAGCAGGTCCACTGGCTTGGTCTCATTTAAAATTTTGTTTTAGATATTTTCCAGTGGACTGTTGCTTTGTCTACAAATGCTGGCAACCACAGTCCACAGGTTTGCCTCTAATCAGCTTCCACTTCCTTCTACTCTTTGGGTCACTGGTGCTGATTTCCTTGCAGCCTTTATAGCAAGCTGCTTCAATGGTGTCTTTTCTCTGCTGGACTTACGAACGGTCTTTTTTTTTTACGGAAGTCCAGGTAACAACAATACCAGGACAATCCCAACTCCATTGGGGTCTAAGGTGAAGATGTACACAACTTTGCCCATGGAAGAGGTTGTTTCTGTTAGACATGTGATGCATTTTATGCCTTTACTGCCCAAAATATCATAGACAGTAAGAATGGGAGTTCAATGTGCCAATTGAATTTAGTCCATTACTTACCCAAAGCTAAAACATTGTCAAAGTTAACTCAGCTAGCTCCATTGCCAATGGACGTTAATAAAAGTTCAGGTAGCATCCCTCGGAATTTTATCTTCTAGGTAGTGCGTCAAGTTACTGCAGGGTTAGCACCCTTTTTTGGCTCTGCTAGTTTGTCTGGTCTTGCTTTTATTGGATCCAAACTGTTAGTCAAACCGATTCAAAATACAGCCAAACTAGTTTGGTTTTTGCTGTGCCTGTTTCCAAATAAAAATGTGCTCACTATGGATGCTCAAGCTGATCACCTGACCAATGTCTTTGGGAACAATTGCAGGTATGTGTAATTCTACAGTGTGTTTTCCTCAATCATTTTTGGTCGATCCTCAGATTTTGGATGCTCATGCCTCTAACCATATTGCTGGCAACTATTCTTTTTTTCTCCACCATTACCTATCAAAACACCAAACCACATTACTCTTGTTGATGGCTCAAAAGTCCAAGCCACTAGCATAGATAAACCATCACCACTTATCTCTCAACCATTACACTCAGTCCTCTTAATGCCTAATTGTCCCTTTAATATGATTTCAATTAGTCAACACACCCAATCTTTTGTAGCGAAATAAACTTTATTCTCTGGAACCGGAGTTCAGGGGAGACGATTGGAGCAGGAATTGAGTCTCCTAGTATTAACTACCTACATACTTCATTATCCAATGCATGTTTAGCCTCCGTAAAAAAATAAGGTCATCCAAAATTTAGGTCATCCAAAATCTGAAATTCTGAATAAGTACTCCGTAAAAAAATAAGGTCCACCACCTCTTTAAAGTTCAATTATTAGAATGTGAGACATGTCAACTTGGTAACCATGTCCCTACTTCATTCACAAAAAGAGTTTAATGTCATACACTCATACAGCATCACATTTATACTTAATTAATTCTGATATTCGGAGTCCTAATCGAGCCACTTCTATTTTGGGTTTTTTATCCTTTTATTTACTTCCATTAAAGATTTCTCTCGTGGTATTTTCATTATTTTTTCAATGAAAGAAATGTCTGAAGTCCATGAACTGTTCACTGTCTTCCAAAGTTTTTTTGATGAGATGATTGGGATCCATACTCAATTTGGTGTGCCCATTAAAATCTTACAAAGTGACAATGCTAAAGAATACTTTGTCACCTCCTTTTAGATGTGGTTTTCTAATCTCAAGATACATCAACAATGCATCTAGGCAAAAGGATTACTTTAGGAAGATCATAACCATGACCATATAGCTAGAAGATACTCAAATGTTGATCAGGCAAGTTATCCATATTAAAGGAAATCAACCTCTACATAATGTGTTTATTTGTGAGAGATCCAGGCACAAAGCTGAATATCATGTTGTTGACCCCACATATGACTATATGAGCCTACAAGGTTGAAACATTTACTTCTAGAATTGCAATATGTTAATTAGGCACTAACGTCACATATGTCATAACAAAACTAAGATATGTAAATGTAACTCTATCCCGAATGATAATGGACTTAGACCATTATGTACAACCTGGGACTTTGTTATATCAATGAAATATATCTTCCTCTCGTATTTTAGAAAATGAGTGTTAACAATTGTTGACGACAAATTTAATTCATAAAAGCAACAAAGCCTCAACAAAGTAAAAGACTAATGGTATGAAACAGAACTTCAACAAAATGAACCTATATGTTATGACATCCTGGCATCCGAATACAACTATTCCAAAAAGATCAAAACAAAAAGGTGCATCTCGGTTGATCAAAGATACCCTGAAGGATAATAAAAGGGTTACAAGACATGACTAGGACAAACCGTGGTGCGTGTGCACGAAAAAAACCTTAAGAAATGAACCAGAGGTGCACAGGGGAGAACTGAATTGGTCGACCACCTAACCAGTGCTGGCCCATGGCAGGATGTTTGTGACTGGAAGCCATTGATCAAACCGGCACCTGACAAGACCTAGGAGAGCCTTCTCGGAAAATCTTAACTATTTGTAAATTTTTTATTTCTACTTTCAATCAAACCCTAATCTTTTAATGGAATATTTTAGGATATGAGATGATTTTCAAGTTTAAAGTGGTTGGATGGAGCCAAATAAAATTTTCTTAAATTACTTTTTAAAGATTTAATCATGATAACAATCATTGTCTTTAAATTTTGATTAGAGAACAAGCCTAGGTAAATCGTGTCTTTCAGCGATTTGGATTTGTCAAGACATAGAGATTTGAGACAAATAACTTGAAGATCATTAGGATTAATAGGATTTATTTAGATATTTGTATTTAAAAATCAAGTTTAATTGCTTAGTATTTTAGTGTGTGCCTAGCTATAAATAGGCTCATTTTGCATATGTAAAATTAGATTGAGTCGAAATATAAAAGTTTGTAAAATCTCGTTTTTGACCCTTGGAGTCGTGAGAAGTTTTGTCTTGTAAGATTTAAGTTGAGATACTTTGAATGTTTTTTAATATTCAAGTTAATTAGTTTTTAATACTTGTGTGCATTGCCAATGGTGCTAAAAGTCATTTGTGACAATAATTTAGTTTTAAGTAACACTATGCTTGATTCAAGGAATTTATAAGGGAAAAGAATAGAAAATGGTATGAAAAAGATTTTTTCTTGTTTGGCTCGAGAGGAAAAGAAAAGAAAATGAGAAGAGGAACTAAATTAGGAAGAGTGAAAACAATTTTCCTATGATTTTGGTGAAGAAAACGAGAGAAATCATTTTCTTTTCCCTTCTTTCCGAATTCCACGAACCAAACATAGCGTACATGATCAAATAAATCAAAGAGGCACATCAAAATTCCATTCCTTTTTCCATGAGTTTTGGACACTAAATACCGTAATGCAACAAGGGCCAACGGAAATAGCATCTGTTTTTACAAGGTAAGGTTGTGATGAAGCGAACGAAAATAGCATATCTGTTTTTAGAAGGTAAGGTTGCGATGAAGCACACATCTTGAACCCCAACATACAACAATAAAGAGTTTTTTGTTGTCTTAATTATAACTTGAGAGTTTCCTTTCAAGTTGCTACCTTACGTTTAGCAACTTAGCTTAGAAGTTCAAAACCTATTGTTTCACTTGTTTGGTAAGCTTTGGAACATGAGGACAATAAGTGGTGGGTGAGCTGGTTAACGCGTAGAAAATCTTACGTGGAGATTGTTTTCCCTATCCATGCCAACTATCCTCGTGTCTAGATAAAGAAACAATTGATTGCGCTAAATTGTTCCACATGGCCAAAAATGGAAAAAAAAGAAGATACAAAGATTAAACATTAAAAGAGTAGAGATTACCTGCATACATAATGAGACAATACAGCTGCTATGCATCATATTCAAAACAGCATGAACTCATTCAAATAAGTCAGTTACATATAGCAAGCTTCCCTGTCCACTCATCAGCAACACCATAGTCAATACTAAGCTCTCGTAATGGAGGGATGTTCTCCATTGCAAACAACATAAGGCGAGGGAAGCAGACATTATTATGATCATAAAGTACCAGCTGGACAAGAACATTTGGACTTGAACTATGGCTCATGTAACAGGCTACATTTCTCATTTGGGATACGTCCATTGCATAATCCAAGGGAGGGATTGAAGGACGACTTGGGCGCACATAGTCATCATATATTTGTGATAAATCTCCCCATTCAGCCCATCTCTCCACAAAACGAATTGGATATATTAAACTATCACCATTCATTTTGAAAATTTGGGCTTGCTCCATGGTTAAGACAACACCAGCATATTCACAAATAAATGAGCCAGATTGAATAAGATCCAATGATCTAACTCCCCAACCGGTCTCCCTTGATCGAAACACTTCAAACCTCTTTTTCATACCACTTTGACAGACTCGATTCCTGCAAGTTGGAGGGCAGTGACAATGCGGGCCACATTCAAAAACCACAGGTTTCCCCCTCAACAATAAACCATTTTGATCATATGCAAACTCGCCACCATTTCTAATCATACAAAAGCAATTGTCAACACATCCATTAACACATTCACAGCCTGTACCATTTCCCATGAAGTACACATGTTGAGGGAAAATAGATTTGGGCAGATAGTCATAATATGCAGGCTCTTGATCAGCATCAATGTCATTATACAAGAAAACAGGTGTGTTCTCTTTTTTCCTTGATAAATCAAGGCTTAGATACCCTGTTGGCCTCACCACCAGTGGCTGTGTCCTGAGAGCATGCGCGAACCTCAGAACAGAACTTCCCAGTTCTGGTTGATTCTCAATCCTAGCAAGTTTAAACTTTAACACAAGAAATCCAGACTTGCCCACAGCTGGCCAATAATCAATAATCCTATATAAACCATCATAAACATAGACTTTTCCGCTAGCACTACCCGCATATCTAAACCCACGAATCACCCTAACCTCAATGCCATAGTGCATGCTTCTCTCCAATGCCAAATTTCCACCTTCAAGCTTCTGATTTGTACACTGCCGTGAAAACTTGTCCTGCCCACCATGCCCTGTATAGACAAGAACATCCCCTGCATCCTCATCGTCCTCGTACCCCCCAGAAACTATGATGCTAGTGGCAATTGGCTCCCTATTCGAGCTCTGACTGGCAGGGACATAGTCAATTCCAGCTTGAGGTTGCCCGTGCAACCCAACCACGCACAACTCCATCCGGAAAAAGAACAGGTCACCAATGAGCACTCCTGGTATGTCTCCCACAATTCTCTTATCACGGTTCAACCAGAGCCCTTTCTCTCTCATCAACTGTGAAGCCTTCAGGTCTCCTCTTGGTTTCCTGTGACGTAAGTATTGCTGGTAGGTATCGCCCTTCTCTGTAGCCAGCTGTGAAGCATAGATATCTCCTATGGATTTCGGAGGGTCCATTTGATGTTTCCTCTCATCGTCCAGTATGGCAAGAACACGTATCGAATCAAAAAGCATCCGGGTCCTCCGAACCACATCCCGGAAATATCTTTGGTCCTCAGGTTTAAGATCTGTAACTCTTACCAGCTCAGACGACCTCTGCTGATACTTCTTCTTCGAAATCACCAAACCTGAGGTCTGCTCATCGTTATTTACGGGCACAATAGCTCTAGAATCTGGTTCCTCCAAAGCATCCACATCCCCGTGTCCATGCATTCTCTTAGCAAAAGCATCATGAAACATCTCAGAGATTCGACTGAATTCTGAATACACATTCGTCTCATTTGAGGACGGCAAGATGTCACTGGCATTGGGTTCCTGCGGGCTACGAAGACTGAAAGCAGAATTGGTACTTGATTTGACATTGGAGGCGGAAGGGCTAGGGTTCGCAAAGATCGGTGGGGTTTGAAGGTCGGCTTGGGTGTATTCATCAAGCGGCTCGAGTTTAGGTTCGATCAAAGGAGTGCCCCCAGCGGCGGCGGTGAGGGCGGCGGCGGTGGAGTTGGATGGGCCAAGTTGGAGAAATGGAGCCAAAGATTCCATCTTTTGCGCTCAATTCTTCAACTTCTTTAAAGAGGGAGAAAGAGAAACAGATTTAATATCTGGTGGTTCATTAAAAGTTAGGGGAGCAATGGCAGTGAGTTCACTGAGGGGATTTCCGGGACGTGAATTTATATTAATGAATAAACGCGTGTAACTGTGTAAGCATAGTACAACTGTACAAGTGTACAACACCATATGTGATTCCATGCTACACTTACACAAAAAATTGTAACTCATTTGTATTTCGCAGTTATATCCAAACATATTGATGGTTTACATTGAGACAAGTATTGGTGCGTTAACAAAAATTTACACGGACACAAAAATTGGTGCATTAATAAAAATTAGTTTTACAACAATATAAAATGTTGGTGCAAACCTGCGGGGTATAAAATGTGGGGTACAAAAACTTAGGGTATAAATAGCTTTATCCTAATAAATTACCCTAGTTCCTTTGACATTGCTAAGGCAATTTTTTATTCAACTTACGAGTATTTTTTTGTTTATTATTTATCTTTATTATAATCAAATGAGATTATAGCATACTAGATCAGATCAGAAATAACTTTGATTATATTTGCAATTAGAGCAAATCAGACCAAATCAAATCTTCAAAATATCAGATGAGATCAAACGAACGGAATACAGTCTAAGCAATGTCATGGCCTCATGGGATGATCCGGAATCGTACGATATTCCATTCGTAAAATTGGTGATTCTTACCCCTCCTAACTCTCTGATAAATCACCCCACCCCGCCCCGCTCCGAACCCACTGTCTCACCCCATTCAATTGCATCCTCCAAGTTTAGTTGACTTAAGAGTCAAAATTTAAAGGTGATTTAGAGGGCGATTCCCATGACATTGTTAAGTTCCCATGGCATTGCTAAGCAATGTTATGGAATGACCCGGGGGCCATACAATACTCCGTTCGTAAAATTGGCAGTTTTTGTCTCTCCTAACCCTTCAGTAAACCTCCATCATCCCGCGCTGCCCTAAACCCACCGCCACACCCCTTTCAATTGCATCCCCCATGTTTAGCTCCATTGAATGTCAGTACCAGCTAGCTTGGTTTTTCTTCATAGGATTTTCTTAGCCCATTGGTTATTAGTAGATCATCTAAATTATCCTTTGGTCCTATCATGATAATTAAGTTGATAAATTTTTTTTAATGGTGTTATATCTTCGATGAATGGGGCCGGTCGTTTGTCCACCTTGCAATGTCCTCAAGGAAATTACATAACCATTTTAATTCCATTCTTCATTTATCTAGGGTTATGAACTCCAATTTAATAATGGACGCAGTAATAAGTGTCTGCTTTATGAACTTACTAGATACAACTACACCCGCTTGTATAAGGACATATCCATTCATGAATTTTGAGTATCTTATGTCACATATCCACTTTGCGTCTATCTATTCTCTAACATAGTGGGATATGTTGTAACATATATGCTTGTGCATAACGAAAATGGATTTTTTCGATATAATTATAATTTTGAGCACATTTAAATGATAAATAAAATGTGGAATTTAGACACAAAATTAGACCCCATATGATGTCCCTTCCTCTCTCAACCCTTTTGAATTTACAAAGATTTAGAGTGGAGGAGTTAGCATTTATGATGTGAATGCAATCTTCTAAGTATTCCATAATTGACTTGGGAGAATTTTGTTTGATGTGAATGCAATTTATAAAATATTTCATGCATGGCATTAGAAAATGTAGTCTCTCCTTTTTCAGTTTTTTGATAAATTGTGTGAAAATACTTATGATCAAACACTAAATTTGTAACATCCTAAAATTGGTCTAAAACTTGGAATAGTATTTATTTAAAAAGGTTTAAAAAGAAAAATATAGTTTTTCCTTTACTTTTTTTATACTTTAGAATATGCTACCGAAGGAATATAATGTCAAATTTTATATACGCTCTGTGTCCAGAATTATTTTTTCTACCGAAGAATATTAAAAAATAAAATTTATACATTTAAAACTTACCTAAAGAGTTATATGAAACAATAGACAACATGACTGTTATACTAGTATTATATAATGAGTAGTACAAATAATTAAACTAAGTGAATAATGTTTGGCCGTGTGAATAGTTCATGAAAAGAATATTTCTAGAGAGATAGAGTTTAATATTGGTGTCATTGGATAAACTTTTGACTTGAATTTTCAATGACATATTATTTGTCAAGTTTGGACTCGTTTATGAAAAGTTATGATAAAAAAAGCATTACCGTATAATATTTAAATGCTCCCTCCACTCCAAAATTTTCATAATGTTCCCTTAATCAGTGATCAAACTTTTTCTTCTTTCTTTACTTAATTTTATTAATTATTTATTAATATAATGTAGTCATGTGACCTCTTATTTTATAGAGCATTACATATAGTTTTTTAGTATATTTCTTTATTTTCAAATATTACACTATTATTAAAATAAATTGAATTAAAAATAAACACAATTAAGTCTCATTATCTGAAGCTTAAAAACAATTTTGGGATGGGGGGATTGAATGAAATCATAAATCATATGTGCCAAAATTTTGAAATATAGTTGTTTTAAATCCTTTTGAACTTATACTAATTTAGCTTATTTTTATGATTATATTAATAGCAATCTTTCTAAATGGATAAAATTTTGGAAAATCTAGGTAAAGGAGAAAGACTAAAACATAAATAAAAATTAGGTAAGAAATCAAAATAGTATCTTCATGTTTTTATTTTTTAAAATAAGATTTGCAATGTCAATAATTTCAACATATAATATCAAACAATCCTGATAATTAATATACTACGTCAGAATGTAAAATTCTATTTTAGGGATAAAAATATGCGATAGTATCTAAGAACTTAATCGGCATTAACATTTTTACATTTTGAGATTAATACCAATTAAATTTTTTTATGCATAATATAAATGCTAATAATTGCAATTGATTCCTTCAAAAGGAAAAAAAAGTGCAATTAGTATAACCGTGGAATAAATATTGAACTTGATATTGATTTATTTTATTTTTGGAAATATCATTATTTTTTACGAACCATTATATCATTGCAATTTCTAGCTCTTTTGCTTATGACATGTGCCAAAATTTTGAAAATATCATTACTTTTTTTCTTTTTGAGCTTGATGCTTATTTACCATATTTTATATTATATTAATATTAATACTAATTATAATAATAGCAATAAATGCTATTACCCTTTCAAAATGGATGAAATTTAAGAAAATTTAAGAAGGGGAGAAAGAATAAAATAGAAGTAAAAATTAGGGAATGAACCAAAATAATTTCAACATATAAAAGATTACTTTGGATTAACAATATACATTGTTACATTGTCACAGTGCACAAATTTATTCTGGTATATGATAAAAATATGGGATTCCTACTTTAGGGATAAAGATTATATTTTACCCCTATTTTGGATAATTTTTAATCCGCTAAGGGACTAGATCGTTTGTTTATTATAAGAGACAAATTTTTGGAAAATAAGTATTTTTAGTTTTTTAAAAATATTTCACTATTAACTTAAGTTATTGTCTTAATTGATAGCTTATATCATACGTTCAGGAGTATTTAGAGCTAGGTATATCCAACAAATATTTGTTTTGAATCAATGTAGTACTCATTTTAAAGTAACGTAGTGTTCATTCCATGCTTGCTCAGCGTATGGTAATGTGTTAATTCTAAAACAATATAATATTTACCTGGAATTCTGGAAACAACATACTATTCATTTTGAAACATTTTTAATTGTATGTTCACCATGATGTACGATATACCATATAGTTTTTCATCTAAATTACATCACCATCACCTTAGAACACTTTTAAACTGCATAAATTAATTCAAAACTTTAAAATTTTGATATAGAAAAATTAAAGTATAGTTGTAATGCCCCAAAATAGACCCTTAAAATTATATAAAATTTCTACTCAAGTAAACAAATTTATTTTGATTAAAATAAATTATTATTGGGATTTGGGCTAAAATAAAATATGTTTTGATATCCAATATCAAAATTTGGATAAACCTTGTGGATATAAATCCAAAATGCAAATCTATATGTGATCTTGATGGGGAACGAGAGTATATACCAAAATAAAAAATAAATAAAGAATTTGAGTTATGAGGTGAACTTTTGAGATAAATTGTTAAAATAATTCAAGAGAACAAAGAATATGAGAATCTTTTGAATAAAAGATTAATAAAATCAATTTTGACTCTATCAAGTCAAACACCTAGAAATATGATGTCGGAAAAATTATTACAAATAAATATAAGAATTATATGGTTGGATAGAGTTTAACTGTATGAGAGCAATTGTACAAAGGGATTTTAAATCGGTGAAAGTTGGACAAAAAGTGTGACCCGACTGGACCAAATTAGTCCCAATCAGGGTGTGACATGTAAAATCCTACAAATCGATCATCCTACGCACTACGTCGATCAGCAAACATATAGAATATAGAATTTGAATCCTGAGTCAGCAATGTCTTCTTCTTCCCCTCACCATTCCTATACAAGGAGTACTCAACTCCTTCAATTTTTCACCATTATTCATAATTCTTTATTGTATCTTGTTCCTTGGAGTGTGAAGAGTGAAGTGGTGTTGTCCATAGAGTGAGAGGTCGTAGAAGTAAGCCACAATCCTTGCAGGGAAATTTTCAAAACCTCCATTTAAGCTTGAGGTAAGCCCTTAGATATATCTAATGATTAGCATGTTCGTATAGATCGTCTCTACGTTCATAAATGGTTGTTTGGTTAAGTTTTGTGTTTAACATGTTTGAAGAACCAAAAATCATAAACCTTGAAATTGTTGTTAAACCTACGAACTAATGATACCAAAATGATCTATGAACTTTGTAGAATATTTCTATATAGTTTAATTGAAGTTTGATGACTAAAAATGGATTTTTCGAAAAATTATCCCGAGGTTAAAGATGACATTATTTAAACTACGCATAGAAACGGTTTCAACTACCGTCCAGACGGTATCAAGAAACTGCCGGCACGGTAGCCCGTATCGTTGGAACGGTAGACCATCTACCGTCATTGTGCATTTTTCTATGATTATACCTAAAGCTG